AAACAAACAAAAACGGACGGACGGACTGACATCAGTGTTGTAGAATAGAAAAGAAAGGAAATATAAAGATAAAATAGATGAAATTTTGTACACTTCAACAGAGATAGATGAGAGATGAAAAACAAGTAATAACAGCGCTGTTTCTTTGCTTTTTTGTGTGTTTTTTCTTGCTGTGCATATACTGATTTCGTGTCATTGGATACCAATCCATCCGCGACACACAATCAGTGAGAACATGCACTTAGTGAAAAAAAACAGCGCTTTTATTGCGTGTTTTTCATCTCTCTTCTATATGTGTTGAAGTGTACACAATTTCTTTATTTTATAATGGACCAATCTGAACCAACCGAAGCTCAAAGGGAATAATATATAACTGTCCTAAATTATTCTATTTGGATGGAATCCATGGCTTCCATGGGAAATTTAATTCTCTGTTTTGGTTGGTCAAGTCAAAATTGTGAAACACTCCCCTTGAAACTACAAGACTAAGTCTATTCAAAGCTTATAGGGAAAATATGTAGTCTATAAACTCTACACATCCCCATTTATCGGTGATGAAGCAGCTTACATCGCAGTTGCTTTCCTATTGGAGAAAATGAAAAATCTTCTCTTTATTATTTATTACTCAGATCTATTCAACATTGGGCTTCGTCGGATAGAAATCGACCTTACGCAAAGGAATATCTATACATCTGTTAACTTATTTCGGGTTGAAAAAATCTCTATGCAAAGTCTGTAACTGTTTGAAAATTGATATGATAAAATAAGAACCCTACAAAACTGACCAAAAATTAATCTTTTATTTCGTATTTGAATGTTCCAAAATCAATCTAAGTCTTATACATGTACATTTAAACGTGCACTTGCATTAGGTCAATTTCTATCCGTCGCAGCTCATTTGTAGATTTGTTAGTCAGCCATTTGCAAACAAACAAACAACTCAAGAAAATTTCTACCATATTCAATAGCCTGCCGATGGATCTTTATATTGTCTTTTGGTTATTTGTATCGTTGGGTTGCTGTCACACTGAAGAACAACCCAAAGCTATCTTTATTCATATACAATAACACACACTACAAAAGTCTAAAAGTCTGAAAAGACCAGTTTTTGTCCCAATTTGCATGAACTTTTACTCGACATTCTCCAAAAGTATGACTTGTGTCTTAATTTTTCTTGACAAATTCTCATTTATATTAAATTTGTATGAAATTTACTCGACATATTCTCGACATTCTGAATATGGTCTTAAAATTTCTTGACAAATTCTTGACATCTGAATACTGTCTTGAAATTTCTCGACATTCTTATTTTTTCTCAGTATGGCTTGACATATTCTGAACATTTTGAATCGTGTCTTAAATTTACTTGACAGTTCTGAGTTTTACAAATCATGACCAATATGTATGATATAACTTTAATCTTTATTTCTCTTTATATGATATACTGTTGTTTCAAGTTACACTTCTTTACAACAAAAATAAAAGTTGGGCACGTAAAATAATTGAAAATTTGGGTATATAAATATTTTTACAAATGCAAATATGGCTATGAAATCTAAAGTATAAAATAATTCAAATGTGGGTGTGTTGGTATAAAACAATTTCAATGTGGGTTTTTAAATAATTACAAATTTTGATTCCTAAATCTTATAAATTAAATGATTCAAACCAATCATACTGTAGACATATTTCATTCTAGATTCATAATATTCAATGTTGATATGGTAAATAATTATTATACCAAAATGTGGTTTATATAAATAGCAAATTATGATGATATACAAATCATTCATTTAACAGAAGAAAAATTTGTGTAATGTCATCTGTTGGAATATATTAAGTATTACACATGGACAGGATGTTCCCCATAAAATTAAGGTATTCCACACCCCAGAGTACATGCAACTGTCAAATAGAAGTTATTGCTTTACCTGAAATCAGCCATACAACTTATCAGTTGACCGACCATGCCACTACAATTTAAAAAGTTTGTTGATAGATGAAAAGGAAAATCATCATTTTGATGAAAAAAAATTGAATTGAAATGGATTTTCTTCATCAAAATTATGAAGTTAATTATTTTAACATAAAAACAAATTGAATAATTCCCAAAGATTAAAAGAAAATTATTATCTACTCCAGGAATAATAAAAAAAATGTATTTATAATGGGTCCCATCAATGATTTCTATAGAAATCATCGGTCTTATGAAATGGTTCTCAAACAGACATGCATAATATAGATCTAAACATTTTTTTCTTTTCAGGAAGGAGTTATCACAAATATTTATTTTTGATAAAAAATTATAAAATTCAACACTCAAATTTGAATAAAAAATGTTTTTGGGTTGTTCTAAAAAATGAATAAGGTTTTTGAATCAAGATGGGAACAAATTCTTTGACCTAAACGAAAGCCCCCCCTCTTTTTTTAGCTACACAAACCCAAAAGATGAATTGTGGGGTCCAAAAGAGATACAAGACACCTATTTTAGTAGAGCAAATTTGACTGGCAGTTTTGCGAACGGCAAAAATCTAAATGCTGTTTGTCAATACCTTCGACTTATATTCCAAGTGAAAACAATTACTTAAATGTTTAATAAAAATAAATCAAAATTAAACTACATGGGGGATTATTCAGGGTATTCCAACTTAGTTGCACCAAAAGGGTATCTTACTATACCAAATTAATCCTTGATTCTTCAAAGTTTAGTTTAGCCATAATAAAAAGGAGTATACAACAGCAATAGAATGCCATAAACAGTGCAGAATAAGTCTGTTCACATTTCAAGCGAAATTTATACTGTTGAGATAGTGTCAAGACATATTTAAGACTGTCAAGAATGTGTCGAGACATATTCAGACATTATTTAGAATGTCAAGAATATGTCGAGACATATTTAGACATTATTAAGAATGTCAAGAATATGTCAAGACAGATCGAGACAAATTTAAGACAGTCAAGAATTGGTCGAGACTAATCCAGACTCTTATCAGATGATACAGAAAGTGTCGAGAAATTTTAAGACAATGTTCATACTGTCAAGACACTTGTCAAGAAAAATCAAGAACCTTATTAGACAAATTCATACTATGTCAAGAATTTTTAAAAATTATTCAGACAAATTAAGAATGTCGAGTAAAAATTCATGCAAATTCAGACAAAAACTGGTCTTTTCAGACTTTTTGACTTTTGTAGTGACAGGTCGGCCAATAGTTGTGCACAATTAGTACTGATTGGAAGACGTGGTATGATTTCCAATGAGACAACTCTCCACATGAGACCAAAAGACACAGAAATTAACAACTATCGGTCACCGTACGGCCTTCAACAATGAGTAAACAGACTGTTTGTTGAAATATCAATCCACCAAACTCAACAAATGTGTTATCCATCAAAAAGTCAAACTTGTTTATGATATTATTATCTTCGGTGTATTTGTTGTATATGGTAAGAAGCATGCGGTCAAGGAATATCTTGATTATTTTGGAAATGTCTGACACTCTACTGAAAAAAAAATGAAAATAATGTTTACAGTATGAGGAAAGAAAATAACTTTCTAATGGGAGGAATCGGTGTCAGGAAATTAAAAAAAAAACCTTTCAAAGAATTGTTGGAACACCACGTGGACGCCATCCCCTTTTTTAAATTTCAAAATTTCCGCATCAAGTTGTTGGGCAATAAAACTCACGAGAATTTGGGTGAGAGTTTCTCTGTCAAAATCGCTGATTCTGGAAGTTCGTTATAAAACATCTGTAAAGTACATGAAAATCTCAAACGTACCGGTTACATGCAGGTGATGATTGTGCATGTACACATGTATATTGCAGTTTATATATTTAGAAAATCAATTAGTTCAAAGGAGTTACATAATTGTGAAAATGTCTAATTTTGTAAAAATCCAAGTGCATGTTGGAAGCTGAAGTTGTATTCTCCATATCCGCTTGTAGTCTAGTAAATCCGGTGTATTACCTGCAAATAATTAATTGCAGCACATTATTTATAGATAAATAAAAAAATTAATATATATGGTTATTTAATCATGAATGCGAACATTTTGAATGTTAAAATCTAATTACTCATTGGATAATAAAGATATTTTGCCTTCAAAGATTAGAAACCAAAAGTTCAAAAAAGATTAGAGATGTACTTCAGGGGCGGATCCAGGACTTTTGAAAGGTTGCGAAATTTCAAAAATAGAAAAGATATTGCCGAGCGTAGCGAGGCAAAACAAATTTTGGACGATTTTATGTTAAAAAAAAATATTTTCCAATCAAAAGGTGGGGCGTACGCCCTCTACGCCCCCTGGATATTTTATCTGCCACTTATAACATACATGCAACTACAAAACTGACTAGACTGTTTAGTTATAATTATTATATTAGTATGAACCAAAAAGATTCACTGACGTAAAAGAAATGTGCTTTTTCCGTTTGTGGCGACAAACCCTGGCTGAAGAAGGGCATCCGTTTGACAACAAGGGCAGTATAGAAAAGTGCCCTCGCAACAATTGCCAAGCGATGACGTTGGGTTATTTCGACGTTTTGTGATATTTTACACATATAACACCACTTTGAATAATGTATACCGTAAAAACGAAATCGGTGACCTAACTATTATTTTACATGGTAAAACGGAAATTTTTGTATCAGCAACATATTAATTTTTAAGAAAAATCTATAGGTTTGTATAATTGGATATTTGATGACCGTAAGACAAATTTAAGAACGTTTCGCTGGTGTTATATACGTCCATACAAATGTTCACCTATTGTAAAATAATTCATTCAGTAATACTTCAGAAAATAAAAGAGATAAATCAGCCATGGACAGTCTTGATTTAACTGTATATGTGCTGTATGTTTAACAATAAAAAATAATAAACAAAAAACAAAAAATTCAATAATTCTTATACAAATACGAAAAAAAAGTACTTAAAAAAAAATTCATACCATGTTAATTTAAAATAAAAACCTTTTATTTTCCACATTTCTATAGTGTCGGCGGTTGTTTCCCTTTGAATACAAACAAACAGACAGGAAGAAAAATGTCTACAAAACAGAAACGAGTTGGAATACTGGTCGAGTTTAATTATGAAGATTTAGAGGTAAACTTCACATAATTGATGACATGTATTTACATTTGAAATGAAATGCACGGAGCATTTATACTTGCTTAGTCAGCTTACATCCCACTTTGGGTATAGAGTTCAAGATTTGGGTCGTTCGTTTGTCAATGTGGTTACTCTAAATTTCCCCCAGAACTTTATTGAACGTGTTGACAGCCACACAGGCACTTGCATATAGACGCACCGAGTCCTCTCTTTTATAATTTACTGTACTACATATTAATCTAGTAAAAATGCGGTAATTCAACCTAATTTTACTCAAATAACTTATTTGTTTTAACTTTTGTCCAATCTGATAATTAAGGGGACACGATTTTCACCCTGTCTTATGCAAGGTTATTTATGTTCAGCTCTTACCAGGCAATGATATTCATTTTCTAAATCCTCCTGACCCGGCCCTCCCCCCAACCAGGAAATAAGATATGCTAGTATTCTATAATTACTATGCCCATTGTTTTCTACATTGTTCTCTTTTTATATGTTTCTTATGATGTTTTAGCACCCCACGTATTCGATATTCGTTTTTTGTCTATTATTCTTTTTTCTGTAAACCCCATTCAGGCTCTCATACATATACTAGTTCTATCATAGTCGATCGTCAAGGTTTCTTGTCAATTTTGATTTTTAGTTATGGTACCCCTACTACAGATTGAAAGAAGAGGGACATGAAACATTTACAATTGGGCCAGAAAAAGGAAAGACTTACAACTCTAAACATGGTTACCCTTGTAAGGCAGAGCAGGGCATTGATGATGTTAAGCATGAGGTAAACATTACTTTCAAATAACTCGCTGTGTCTATGGTATAATTACAATATCCCAGACAGTAGGGTTTACTTTATGCATACGTACGTTCTCTTTTGTTCAGTGAACTCGAGTCCTCCGTACGTCGCCCTTTAACAAATAATTTTTCAGAATGTACCAAGATGATAAGACAATGTGTTAAATAACTGCCACTGAACATGAACAGAAGTGCTATCAGTGAAATTATTGATCAGTGTATCAAACCGACAAAATGGTTGAGATATTTTTGTTTGTAGACTGACAAAACGGTTATATGGTGTGTTTGCTTCGTGAGTGCGTCGGTTCACGGTCTACTCACTGTCGGATCTCTGTCGGACCGCAATCGGAAGAATCGGGACGCTGTCGGGACAAACAGATTCTATCGCTTTATTATCATTGATATCGTCATAATTATAAACTAACTGTTTATAAAACTTTAAATTTTTCGAAATACTAAGGATTTTCTATCCAAGGAATAGATTACTTTAGCTGTATTTGGCAAAACCTTTCGGAATTTTAATCCTGGTATCTATGATGAGTTTATTTATTGCATGCGAAAGATGCAAATCGGATCAGAATCGGATTGAACACTGCTGAATCGGGACTTTTCCAGAACAATATCGGATTGTTGTCGTGATTAACTAAATGTTTTTACAAATTTGAATTAAAATCCTAATTTTCCAGCCACGAATCACGAGACCTTCACTGTTGACAAATTTTAATTGGTAGTGGTCCTATCAAGGACAACAGTAAAAATCCTGAATGTGTGACTGAGACCTAATGATTTAAAATCAGCCTCTATCGGAACTCGTGTGCTCGTCGAATCATATGAGCATAACGAAATCAGAGATCTATATTTTGATTAGATTGGACTGAGGCTCAACAGGCTTAAATACATTTAGAATCGTAATTAATTCCGTCTATCACAAATCTTAATTATTTTTATGTTCTTACCGGGCCGTTCTATTCATTTTTCACACTCAGAAATCACAACAAAATAACGACCTAGTTTTACTCAATCTAATTAAAATTAAACCCTTTAATTGCTTCCGTTCTGATATGTCGCGCATTTTGACTCAAATTCTCATATTTGATTTATAACATACTAAAACGTTTATCCAAATTACAATAAGTCTGAAATAAACAGTTAACAATGCATGTACTCGATAATATATATCAGAATTTCGTGTGTATTTTAGTCTAGACGCCATCTAATTAGCTATCGAGATGACCTCCGACGACTTGCCGACGGTCACATAACCCGATATAAACATAGACATAAATATAAATAGATAGCGACCTCGTGCAATTGGATTTTACTATGTCTGCTTGATTTCATGTTATAGGTTAAAAACATAAGTTAATCATCGTTTTTACCTGTATAAGAATGATTCTTTTGTGGATCGAATCAGTCAACGAAATGGTTCACCTTTGTTTCACTTTTAATGTTGACATTCTTTTCCTTTTAATGGCTGCACACGACTAATACATGCGTAACCAATCTCTAGCTAATGGGTTAAATTGAAGGTCACATGAATACGGATTCAATGAGGTCGAATTATTCACTTGCAAATGAATAATTCATTAGCGATGTTTCTTTGTTTATTTTGACAAAAGTGAACCAAATTGGCTGCCAAAAGCGAATTATTATTTCATTATTTCACTTTTGTTAATGAGTGTACCAAACAAAATCATATTCTAATTTTTTTCACATCTCGTAGCTACTGCCCCTTTAAAGGATTTGATTTCAATTAGATTGAGTTTTACTTAACTTGGAATTGATTTAGTTATTGTTTACAAAAAGTATCAAAAGTTCCCAGTTTTAGAAAGAACCTTTAGTTATATAAAACAGTATTACTAATTTTGCCTTCTGAATATATGTATAAACCTTTCAACAGCATTTAGCGGGCGGAACTTGGCGAGACATTTAGTTATGATCCCCTGAGTATGGTACCTATCCATTTAATGCATCTGAAGTATTCGTATTAAGTTGTATAATCCATAATATAACATTTATATAAGAGCTTAGTCAGTAACTATAATCAAATATTTCAGGACCTTGACGCACTCATTATTCCAGGAGGATTCGCTCCTGATTACTGGAGGAGGGACAAACGTTTTCTTGATTTAGTGCGCAATGTTTATGAGTCGGGTAAGTGAAGACTATTTCTATGTACATGTATACTAGTTTAAATTTTAATAAAAGAGAGAGTAGGAGAAAAGGGGGGGAGGGTCAGTCGTTTAAATTTTGTAAATAGGCTTAAATTGTAGAGGGATAATCAGATATGATGTTATTTATAAAAGTTCATTATGTTTCTGATTGTAAGTACTCCTACAGTTGTATTTTGTTTAAATGACTAATTCATTTTTAATTTAATGGTTATTTAACTTAAATCATGTAAAAATATATGATCGTTAGCAATTCTTAGGTTCGTCCTCGTCTCCTTGTCCACTGAAATGACGTTAAACTGATCAGAACATCCAATGCAAAGCACTGACGTTCAACAAGGATATTCTAATACGTCTCTATTCTTTGTTTAATTTGTAAACAAATCCAAAAAAACATGGGCTAGTTTGTGTCTTATATCTTCATGTTTTTTACGTTTATTTTTGTGCTTATGATAAGTCAAGTCATTTTCCAATTATTTTTTAGTTTGTTCTTATGTTGTGATGTTTCACCATTTTCCCAAATTAGGAGAGGGTTGAGCGCTTACGATCTTATGCATGTTTAACCCCACCCCATTCTTGATGTGCCTGTCCCAAGTCAGGAGCCTTTAACTCAGTGGTTTTCGTTGGTTGCTGTCTGTTATAAATGTGTTTCGTTTATTGTTTTGTTATAGATCAGGCCGTTAGTTTTTTCGTTTGAGTTGTTTCACATTTTGTCATGTCGGGCCTTTTATAGCTGACTATACGGTAGGGGGTTTGGTCATTGTTGTACTATAATTGCTTAAATCCACGTCATTTGGACATTGTTAGGTTGCTGTCTCATTGGCAATCATAACACATCTATTGCATACTGCTACACGTGCTTTACATCACAACTGGATTTTCAACCGTCAGGTTTAATATTAAATAAAACATAAAAGGATGATAGGATTTCAAAATAGTTTTAAAGTACAAAAGACCATATCAATCCATAAATAATCTGGCTTCTTTTCCGAGACACACGGCCTAGAAAGTTTGACTCGACAGAGGCGCAGGTTTAGGAAAAGGGGGGGGGGGAGGAAACAAGTTTTATATGCGCACGAGTCAAATGAGCGGTGATCAAAGGTTCTTCGGAAGCTACAATTCGGCAATGGACATTTGAGCGAAATGGCAGGACATTTGAGCGATTAAAAAAGGACGTTCGAGCGTCAAAGTATAGGACATGTGAGCGCCGAAATTTAAGGACATTTTAGCGAAAAAAATTATGAATGATGAAGGAGTACCTCTTCCGATCGCCAGATATAATCCATTACCCTTGCTCACCACGGGGAGGTGGAAATAGGATTTCGAACAGGTTATAGTTAATAAAATGTGGAGTTTGTAACGCACAAAGTTTAAAACATTTTTTAATTGTAAAAAATACAAAGCACTGTCATAAAACTTGAAACTCGACAGTGACATTTTTTTCAACCAGTTCGAGCTTGAAATTTATATCCTAAGCTTCTGACATTAAAATCCCTCGTTATTTCCTATTGGCAGTACCGCGAATACAAGTCCAGGAGATTCTGTTCCTTCTCCTTGTCTGTTCAGCTATGAGGTTTGATTGGTAAGTAGAGATCAACCCAGGACTATACTACCATTAACTAGTCAGAACCGGTCGAATTACTCAGGTGTAAAATAAAATAAGATATATTTATTATAAAAACTTACTCGTTTTTCTTACTTTTTAAAAATATTTTCTTAACTCATATTTATAAAAGTGTCACAGGAAGTTTCACTCAAACGTCCTATTTGAAAATCCAGGTAAGGTTAATATTCCGGCGCTAAAATGTCCTATGATGTCAGCGCTCAAATGACCCTATGTGCTTTTTTTTTATTTTCGCTCAAATGTCCTATGCCCGGAATCTACCTAATATAGTTTAATTCTAAATGAGAATTAATATTGAGAATGGAAGAGGTAATAAAATCTGTAATTTATTGTTTTAACTGTTTTCACATGCCTCATCTGTTTAACGTGAGGGTACCCAAATTGCACCTATTTTGACAGTTTTTTCACCTACGTTTATTTATGATCTAGACAAAAGTTTTCATTCTGTGTTTATTTTGTAGATATATCCTCATTTACTATATAATTCCACCAATTTAATTTTTAATCCATATTAAATCATAGAAAAATGGGTTTGAGCCGACCTCCAAACGACCCATAATTCTGTAATGATGAGTACCCAGATTGCATCCATGCTTAAATTCACATCATTAAAAATCGAATAACAGATGTTTTGTTTTATTTTTTCAAATATTTAGAACAATTTGACATTATTCTATTCTTACTTTTCATTTTTTAAGAAATGGATGCTTGTAACATATTTTATTTGCTCATTTTTAAAAGATGACTTTTTGTGGACGTCGCATAGCGACGTTTCCGTAGATTTTACTTTTTCCAGTGAATACTTCATCTGTTGACATACTGTGAAGGTTTTGTGTACATATAAAATTATATTTACCTATGTTGGAAGACGTGCATAATGCCAATTCATAAAAATACAAATTGTTTCGTCTGTAAGAAAACTTGTAAGATTTCCACTGCTTTTTTTGCTAAATAGGTGCAATTTGGGTACTCGGTGCAATTTGGGTACTGTGACGTTAGACATATCTTGCGTGATGATAATTATAGAAATGTGGCCTTCTTGTTTACTATCAGTACACTATAGCTCATATTATTCACGGAAGAAGAATGTGCATATGGTGTATCACGTATCTGTATTTCATGTACATGACGAAGTAGAATATAAAATTTCTATGTAACTAAAACGCAGGTTTGACAAATGGTTGATTAAAATTCATATATACTAAGCATTTTGATTCAGCAGAAATTTAATATCTTATTACGTAAGACTGATTATCAGCGAGATCAAATAAACCAAGGTATAATTTTTGTGTCGGGACCACTTCTGAAGTACACGAGAACGTGCACGATTTCATGGTGTTTTTTGTCTTGTTTTTTGTGTTGTTAGGTTTTTAAGGTTTTCTCTGTAATATGTGATAACTGTAATATAACCTCGAATATTCTTTATGAACAACACTTGACTACGGAAGGGACCCCTATGTATCGCCACAGCTGGACGCTATAAGGTGATATCTTAGATGCCAACTAGTTCCCCTGTGTTGAAATTGATCCATGTGACATGAAACTTGTTTATTCCTATGTATGGTAAAACGGTAGGGTTACCATATTGCTCACAAATAAGACTTAGCATATAGATTAAGGTGACAGTAGTTTACCGATGTTCAAATCTCGTAAGCCGATAAAGAAGTGACGCATCAAGGTAACATACAAAGACAGAAAAAAAATTCGCATAAACTCAAAAAGACCGGGTGCGTCGACAGGGTTAGCGTCTCCAGCTATGCATGCACCCCCCCCACTATGCGAACTTAAGCTCGGTCAAAATGTCACAATTGGGAATGGGACACAATCGGTAAATTTACAGATCAGACGACTATACTTGTATCGAAGATCTAAGACCACGAAAATATGTCGCTAGTGAGTTGAGACGACGCCACATCGTATCGGTCAACCAATTCGTGATGATGACGTGACGTAAGAATTATGTATAGTGATTAGACTTCAGTCGTCTTCCTTACAACTCTGTTCGAGCAGTTTTTGTGTAAAGTGCACACCTCTGCAAATAAAATCGACTTTCAACGAAAGTTTCAAAGCAACAATAAAGCAGACCTTTTACTTTCGGTAGTATATTTAATCTCAAATTAACTACGATATATGACAAGTGAACACTCATTGAAACGTGAGTTATTGAGTGACAGGACAGCATTAATACATCTGAACGTGAAATTAAAGAACCTCGCTGGATGCTTTTTCTTTGATTCTATATGAATTATGCTTCATATGGGTATAAAACAAGTCGACCAGTAGTGGAGCACAATTAGTACCCATTGGAATACTGAAACATCAAACCACCAAACTCAACACCTATGTAATCGATCAAAAAGTTTAGCATTTTGATGATATCGTTTTTGGTGTATTTGTTGTGGGAATCACCGTTGTTCTTCACTAAGTAAGATTTTTCATTCACCTAAATCAAAGAATTTGTATCTACGTTTCTTATTTTTGTCGAACAGCTCTGTTTAATGAGACAGTGTAGTCTGTCTTTCTATTGAGCATGGGGAAGAGTAATGTAAAGCGTAGAAAAAAATATAGCATTGGAATAATTGGAGTATAAAAAGATTATTTTGGCCAAATATTTATTAAATCTCCAAAAGTACTGTGCTTAAATTTATCAATTGTTCGTCTTTTCACAAAGTCACAGATTTTGAATCTCCCTTTAAGAGTTATGACCTTCCCTTATCTGGAAAGTGTCTTTATACTGGAAGTGGGAGCATATGAGATCTCAAGAAAAGAATGTTTTGTTCTTTTTGGCCATTACAATGCCCCTCTTTATTCGAAATTACTACTGTTGGTTGCCCTTGTTGTGTCATATATTTTTCTTTAATTAACCGTTTACGTAGGTAGTTGAATTCATGCGATAAAAATATATAATAAAATCTTAACATGTTATTGAATATGCACCTTTTCTAAATTGTTTATGTCACTATATATATGTAAAAATCGACAACAATGCTCAAAATGTTTTTTAACCTATCACATAGTGTATGCTGCAACTACTGACTACGTTGTCACCTCTATATTAGAATTAGTGTTTTCTGGTAAACATTTTTTTTCAAAATGATAACAATAGATGACCTGCAAGGCAAACTACTCCCGCCCAGTAATAGAACCCTTGCTAAAAGGGGGCGTCTGTTTTGCTATGCGGGGTGTATTAATGAACAGCCATGTTTAGTCGGACGTATTTCCCATGCCTCATGTAGGTACATTACCACGCTCTCTGGTTGTTACAGGACATTTGCAATAACTATTTGAATGTGGTTTGTAGTTGACCTGATGCAGGTCACAAAAATGTCCCCTATGTAAAGTTCACACATTTGTAACGCCCTTCAAACAATCAATCTTCTACCTTGCAGAACCAACCAATTATTTTGATTGTTAATTTGTTCTCGTCCGCGGAATATGCTTGTACTATTTTCCACTGACCACACAGCAAACAAAAATCAATCAATCTTTTCAATTGACCAGTATTGGAAGGTAGCAATTATTCACCTTGCCCTCCGTTTGAAATCCGTAGCAAAGTTATGTCAACATGTAATGCAAATTTTATTTTGATATTGCCATTGCGCTAGCTGAATGAACAAATAATGAATACATGTAATATGTAAATAAAGGGAATTGAATATTGGATAAAACGTTTCTTTCATAGATACAAATATTTGGTTTATAAGTTTGACTGTACCTGTAGAAAACGTACTGTAAACAGGATAGCGCATCCTAATTTTTACGGTAATGTTATGTTTCGCGCTCGTAAATTAAGATACGATCCTTTTAAAATTTTCGATACTTTAAATTGATTGATTGATTGATTGGTGTTTAACGCCACTTTCAACACTATTGTGCTATTTCGTGACGGTCAGGTTTTATTGTTGGAGGAAGGCGGGGGATGGCCGAAGAGAACCACCTACCTTCGGTAGGAAGACTTCAAATAAATTTATGTTAAAAGGTTACTTATTTAACGCTGTAATAAGATCTTTAAATATTGTTTTATTGGTATAAATATTGATTTGTTATCAATAAATTAAAACCAAACTAGATGTTATTGCTATACACCTATGAACATTCGTGGTCCTATATTTTGGCATTGCACAAGGTCATATATTTCTAAGATTGTTTATATTAAATCCATTGGATGTTGAATGTGTACTAATTGATATTTTAGTCTAAGATACATGATTTTTTATATTAATTTTTATTGGCTTTAACTAACTTCCAGTAACTGCGAGTACTCTCAGAACTGTACTTTGTGTCTTTTTGTTAGTTGTTTTTATGTTTGGTATCGATCTGATGAGTTCAGCCCTTTATAACTGATTGTTATAGTTTGTTCTCTTGTTGTGCCGTTACATCACTGTCCCTGGTTATATGTTTAACCCAGCCATACTCTACATTTGCATGTCTATTATGATTAAAATCAAACTATCATCGCTCCCGTTTTCTGATATGTCGTAGATGCGACATAAAGATAAACGATAGAAAGTGATAGATATGATTTTAATCAGACTGGTGCTTGTCCCAAGTCAGGAGCTTGTGATTTAGTGGTTTTCGTTTGTTGTTGTATATTATATTTGTTTTTGTTTATTGTTTTGTACATAAATCATGCCGTTTGTTTTCTCGTTTGATTGTATTAGATTTGTCATTTCGGGAACTTTTATAGCTTGCTCATTGTCGAAGGCCGTAGGGTGACCTATAGTTATCAACTTCTACATCATTTGGTCTCTGGAGGATAGTTGTCTCATTGGCAATCATACTATATCTTCTTATTTTCATACTGATGTTTCTGTAAATAAGTGAAAGCGTAAGATAAACAATGGAAGTCAGATTCAAATAAATTATTTAATTTAATATATGACAAATTCAGTGATCAAGGACGAATATTAACTGACAAATTTTCTATTATACACATCTTGTGTCTAATGACAATTAAAAAAATCAAATCAAATAAAAAAGTAATCATTTTAAGGACTAACATTTAAACGAAACCTCTTTTAGCAAAAGAATATAAAAATATACTGCTTAAAAGTTGGCACGAAAACTTAGTCATTTGATGGTACCATAACTTGCGAAATACATTATTTACATCAGATTATGGCATTGAAGAATCTCGAGGAAAAAAAGGGGGGGGAGTTGTACAGAATAGAGAATTCACGAAAGATCAAAAGATATATGTAACTTTTCGAATTACGTTTGAATTACAGTGATGAACATAACACTTTATAAAGTTTGTGCGTCCAGAAGCGCTTTTCTATTTTTACCTTCATTACGAATACTTCAAACCCAAACATTTGAAAACCAGGGATGTATATATATGTAGAAACGTTTCGACATTTATTACCAACATTGACCACAATATATAGCCAAGTTCCGTCCTAAGGTCACCTTTGCCGGCGGGACATGAATAAATCCTTTGAAATGGACAAGATTCAAGGACGACCATTATTGAGTTTGGTTCTCTTTGATATCATCAGTGTCTGCAAAGATCTGTATTTTAATATTGCCATTGCTCCAGCCTAATGAATAATTAATAAATATGAGAAATATTTACATAATGGGGATGGGAATCGGGAAAAAACGTGTCTTATATTTCTGTATTGTCTTAGGTGACGTCACAAGTAAAACGAGTCAAGTCCGATCCGAAACATTATTAGCAGAACGTTTTGTGATAGCTCACTGTTTAATTGTTTAGTATATGAGAAATCCTGTTCCATGTAACAAAGCATTAATATTGACTGATTCATTGTTTTTATATACATGTAACGTCCAATGACAATTCAAAAATATAATAAAATCACAAGAAACAACTAATTTGAGGACTTTACAACAACGCACCATACAGCTAGATACTGCTTAAATGGCGGTACGGAACTGTAGTCATACATGTAATTAATCTGCATGATGTTCATCGCATATTTTGTAAAATGCATTTTATAGTATTAAAAAAATGCCTGATATCTCAAATACAATGATTTATTTTATCTAATTAGAAGGCAAGATACCGTTTCAAATTTTTTATTTTTGCTTCGAAAAGTTCTTTTTGCAGTGTTTTTATATAGATTTTTTCTAAATCTCATAAAATACAAAAAGTAAATGAGGAAAAAACCAAAATATTATTAACTATCTTATTCTAACCTGTTATCGTAAAGTTAGGTAAACTTAAGAATGATGAAAGAAGTCGCTTTGCTTTAAATTGTTTAAAACATAACAATCTTAAATGAATATTTTCTTTGAAGAAAATGGTTATTGATTAAAGAAACAGTCCCAAATAGATTTGAATTGTTATCGAGTTTTAAACAAGGGGCTTTTAGGAATTGAAATAAAGGAAGCTGCAATGACAAAAGATCTCTTGGAACATTTGACAACCACTACCTTACATGATACTATTTATTTTATCTAAACTTTTTTTTAGAAAATTTAAATACATGTAGTAAAAAAACAATTTTACAGGGCTTGCAATATTTCAATTTTTATACAAAATGAATGTGATGCATGTGCCACATCATCAGAGCGTCTGAAAGTAGACATGATATGTCTGGCACATGTCTACTATGATGACATAACAGCTTCAAAAACTTACTAGGGTCAATCATCTAGTTTCGAATTTATCTAAAAGTGGGGGTGGTTAGTTACAAATTATACATACTACTTATTATGTATATTACCTATATTATTGTACCTTTGTCGATTAAATGACAGTATACATTACTTATATTTGAAAATGAATATGATTTACCTATAACTTGTCAAATGGCGCAGTTAAATGGGTATATTTACAAAAAATGAAATGATTTTATGATCATTGAAATTCACATTTTTTTATAGAAAGACCCGGTTTTCCGTTTATCTGATACTAACTACATTATTAGTCAACAAGAGCACCAATACATTTTCTTTTTCGTGTCACTGTCTGATAATTTTGTTGACGTTGCTGGTACCATAAGTAATGAAGGGTGTCTTTTGAGTGTTTGTAGTATATTGTCCGACAATAAGTCAAATACTTCTCGAACATTAATGTCTTCTTCAGAGCTCACTTCGATGTACGGAAGTCCGACGTGTTCCGCAAATGCTTCCGCCTTTTCTTTAGAAACTTCTCGTCTCTTTGCATGACATCGAGTTCCCACTAGAATTGTAGATATTTTTTCTGGATTCGTTGTATATTGTCTCAAATCTGTCAGCCTTTAAAACAACACATATCTTCAATTCAGATTTATTTGAATGATTCAATAAAGCATATTTTGTGTTGAAGTACTTTGTTATTACACCAATAGTTAAGATGGTACCCAACACCTTGACTAATATTAATTTGGCTCGTTTAATTTTCATAAAATTTTGACCAAATGTTTACTTTGACCCTTTGACAAAAATATAAAAATTTCAAAAAATTTGAACCAACCACTTTTTTAGAAAAATTTCATTGGTTATATAGCTGTTTGACAAACACCAATTTTGATCATTGAGAAGCTTAATATTTCCTTAACAATACAACGTAATTAAAACGTTTAGCTGATTTTTACAGAGTTATCTCCCTGTAGTGTTAGGTACCACCTTAACTTGATTTATCCTAACAGAAATTTCTTATTGTTTTAGGCAGTTAAACTGAACACTATGTTTCCCTTTCTTTTTAGATGTTAGCTTTTTCTTCGTTTTTCTTGTTGACCATTGTGCTGCCTGTTTTTTTGTAAAAGCGGACTTGTGTTTTTATATTTCCTCCTTGGGAACTTGTTCCTTCTATTTTTTCCTTCCTTTTTAAAAGAAGTCTTCTAGAATAGGGTGATACCGAATTCAGTGTTAACGACACGTGTTTCTAGAATGACCTTCATAAGGCACACTATATGACCTAGAGATTGAAAAGACAAATACACAAAACCTTTAGAGAAATGTCAACCGAAAGATCCTAAACAGAACAGGCAATATCTTAAACCGGCTTCAGTTGACTCCTAAAATGATGTTCCAATTTAAGTTCATATTTTATATATATATATAATACTTGTTTTTCTTCATCAAATTATGACCATATAACAGGTGTGATGTTTTGTTTAAAAGTTTTGTCTATATTAGCCGGGACGACCATTTGATGTTCTAAAGGGGGGAATTTGGGAATGAAATATCTGACTTGTAAGAACTAGTGTTATGTTCGGTAAGGGCACTATTTGGGTCTGAATATTAAGTTCATTGTTCCTAGAAAATAAGTGTTTCAATTTGATAAATAGACATTTAAGAAAGTGAAATAGAATTATTTTTTGTCCATCTTTTCCTATAAAGCGTTGACATTTACACCCCAAACAGGCCAACAATAGATATTTTGGTGAAAGTCGACAAAGTCATTATGATTTCAATCATATTTCGGTCGAGGAAACATAGAGCGCAGGGTTCGACACACTAAATATTCATGTCAAATATGTTAATTGATATAGATAACATAATGTCAAAAGATCTTTTTGTCGATGTATGCGCTGTATGTTTCCGGTCCTATAAAACAATGGACTATTTCATTGAATTTCGAGCAAAATTACAAGTTGCACTATTTGTGACGTCATGAAAAGAACATAACTCGTAAAGTTTCAACAAAGAGATCAATTTCCTGTCTATTCTTTGTTTTAGCTATAATTTATTATTGTAATGGTCAATAAATCCTTATTTGTATTTCTTTTTTTATCTTTTTCTTTAATGTTCTATTCTTATAATCAATGTCCATTGTGTGTTTATGTAGAAATTCAATTTATATAAGAAAAGGAAACGTTAACAAAAAGTCTAATATTGACTTGATATGGAACGCCACAGATGTCGTATGTTGTACGTTATGTTGTTTTTTTTTACTTGATGATATTTTGTCTTTACATAATATGGTTTTGATATTACGTAATGATGTTTTGATATAACTTAATATGGAATAGTCATTACTTAATGCTATTTCGGTATTACATGATATAGTTTCGTATTGACTTGATATAGTTTTGTCATTACTTGATATATGGTTTTGTCATTACTCGATGTGGTTTCACCATTATTTAATGTGGTTGTGTCATTAGGCAATGTGGTTTCAACATTACTTGATGAGTATGTAGCTTAACGTAATGTAGTTGTTTCATTACATGATGTGGTTTTGATATGTCGTAATGATTGTATGCCAAATCTTTATATGGCTTTAACATTACATAACGATGTTTCAAAATTTGACGATTTTACACTACATGATGTGTACATTGTAGTAATTGATGTGGTTCTGTCATTCTTTGATGTAGTTATCACATTACTTGATGAGGTAAAACCACGTGACCATTTGGGAAAAAACTAGTTCTATTTTTAAAACCGATTTCCATGTTTTATGTGCCTCGGATGAGTGTGGCCATCCATCAAGTTAGAGTTCAAATTAAAGTTCGGGTTACTGTTGGAGTTAAAATTCCATTTAGTAAAGTTCGAGTTAGCATTGAGTTTCGAGTTGAACTTCGAGTTTGAGTCACATTTAAAGGTGGGGTTCGAGTTACAATTCGACTTCAACTTCGAATTTGAGACTCATTTAGATTAAGATTTCGAGTTGAAATTCGAGTTATCTAAGATGAATTCGTATTTAAATTTTCCATCGCGGATCAAGGGCTTTTGCTCGGGCATCCGAAAAGATGGCTTAGGGGTATGCGTACAAAAGATAAACAATGTTACAGTTTACAACCGTACGGCCTTCAACACATCGTATAGTCGGCTATAAATGGCCACTACGTGAAAACGTGAAACAATCTAAACGAGAAAACTAACGGCCTAATTTATAAAAAAAAACATTTTACGAAAAAAAAATATGACACACATGAACCAACGACAACCATTGAACTACAGGCTCCTAACTTGGGACAGGCACATAAAGAATATGGCAGAGCGAAAAATGTCTGTGAGCGCTCAACCCTAACCTGGGACAGTAGTGTAACAGCACAACATAAAAACACCTGTAAAAATCAGTTGCAATTGGCGTAACTCAATAGATCGGTATCACTGGGCAATATAAATCCATCAAAATCCGGAGATGATCTCGGGTGCTCTGGAAGGATAAGAAGATCCTGCTCAAAATGTGGCACCCGTCGTGTTATTTGTGAAAGTACAAACCCAGTGATTTGGTCGTATTCGGTAGGTCACATTTGAGGAAAAGAGGACGGGATTGTGGTTACGATAATTGGAACATATCTGTAGTCATACCACATCTTCTTATTTTTATATAAGTTTTTTTTTTTTTTGCATTAAATATTACTAAACTGTTTTGTTATGATAAATTTATAAACCACCATGAATTGTTATAAAACTTGTATAGGAGTTAATCTTCAAGATCAAGATAGAGCATCTACAGAAATTTTTTTTTCATTTTTGTTTTTTACCGATGAATGGACTTTTTTACAGTCAACATTACACTTTAAAACTGACAGCAGCAATCTCAGGCGAGTCATAGGGTTACGTGGAATCCTTCGCGAATTTATTATAATACTGCTTCCATTTGAGAACAAAGGAAAATCAAAGCATCGTTGATGTTGTGATCAAGCCATATTTATAGCTAGTCTGATATTCTTTCTGACCATACTTTTTTCAATATTTTTTCTCTTTTCATTTCCAATCTTACTGTAAAATTTCTATGTTATTGTCCAAAGGTAGGGAATTTTCCAATATTAATGCAAATATTGATATATATATATATATATAGATATTTCAATTTTAGACTCTGTCAGATTTTTTTTTACAAGAATGGAAAGGGAAATCTTCAAATAAGTAATATATTTTTTTATATGCCATTAATAATAACTGGCTTAATAATTTCCAAAAAGAGGCCTTAGAAATGCACTTTCTCAACAACAAAAATTAAAAAATACAATAACTATTTTTTATCTTAATTGGTGTTCATTCTTCATTAAGAAAAATACATTTCCTGTATTCAAATTTAAATGTACAAATACCAAATGATGAGATATTTCCAATTACTGTTAAATAGCAATATAATGGGATATAAATGTAGAACAAACAAATAAATTTTATTGCAGAAATGCTCAGGAAAGAGTTATGCAATTTTGTATATTATTTCAATCATATTTCTGATAATTGTAACTAATTAATTAGAATTTGATTATTGACTTAAGTCAGATGATAATGACACTGATTTTACAAGTGAAATAAAATTTGCTTGCATTTTTTATACATACTTTTTTTATTTTTTGTCTTTTCTTTGAAAAAAAACCCACATCTGATTAATCGTTCAGATAGATAGCAAAATTAACAGAATATTTTAGTGTAGTGTAGATTAAAATAAATAATACATTTGTAGGTTTACTATTGAGGTCAAGAATTTGTGTATTCATTTAGGTGTGTAATAAATTGTGTCTATTTAATTATGTAACAGGTAATGAGATATTAACTGTGGTGAATTAAGCCTGGGGTCGTTTCCAATTAATACTTACACCTTTGATTATTTGAAAATCATGACAGTTGATAATCATACTGACTCTTACTTGCCTATGGAAAGAATTGGAGTAATACCATTTCAAAAAAGTGTGGGAATCAAATTAGATATATTAATACACACGTTGACCTACATTTCATTGAACAACAACTTACACAAGCATAAGATACTAATATAATACTTTCAAAATTCTTATCAACTGATTCAATTGGTGTACAAATACTTTTTCAAATGAATTCATATATAGTAAATAATTATAAATTTTGATTTACAAAGTAACTATATGCAAGTGTATATCTAAAATAAAAGGGTTGTTCGACCAATCTTTTCTTAATTTAAGGGCAAATAACATGTCAAAAGTGGGCAGTTGATGATTAAAATGGTGTAGAAAGTTTCTGCAAGTCATTAAAACACATAATTAGTTTCATCATATGTCTTCAACTTAGTATTCTGCACTATCTCCAAAACCAGAGTGATCGCATAGATCCATCATGGCTGAATCAAAAACGGCCTGACCAAGTGGTTTTGGGATATCCCCCTTATGTTCGAAATATTGTTATTTTTTAAATACTTTTTTTCTTATTTTTTTGTCTGCTGTTCCCCTTTTTCATACAAAATAACTCTGCATTACAACTCGAACTTTAATTTGAACTTTAACTCAATGGATAGCGACACTCATGCAAAGCACATTAAACAATCGACATATGGAAATCGGTTTAAAAATAGAACTAGTTTTTTTTCCAAAATGGACACGTGGTTTTACCTCATCAAGTAATGTGATAATAACATCAAAGTATGACAGGACCACATCAAATACTGGAACGAACACATCATGTAGTGTAAAATCGTCAAATTTTGAAACATCATTATGTAATGTTAAAGCCATATAAAGATTTGGCAAATCGTCATTACGAAATAACAAAACCACATTAGGTAATGAAACAACTACATTACGTTAAGCCACATACACATCAAGTAATGTTAAAACCACATTGCCTATAAAACTATATAAAGTCAATACGAAACCATATCATGTTATATCGAAATATCATTAAGTAATGACTATTCCATATTGAGTTATATCAAAACATCATTACGTAATATCAAAACCATATTATGTAAAGACAAAATATCATCAAGTAATAATAAAACAACATAACGTAATATCAGAGTTCCACATAAGACAGCTGTGGCGTTCCATAACTTGAAAACTTTCATATTTACACACAGGACAGTTTTAGAGAACTTTATTCTTTGATTAAAAAAGACTTACTTTTAAAAACAATTTTTTTTTCTTTAACTATTACATATAAATAAAACAATTTTAATTACATTTGATGAAATTACTGGTGCCAAAGTCTCTTGTTAGAGACTGGCTTCGTGATTTCAATTTATTTATATCATTTGTATGATTAATATTTGATCATTCTACATTTAACCATGTCATGAACAAATGAAAATTATAAACTGTACGATGAATTTATCTTCTGATAAGGTATTATTTCAAGGATTTTCATTTATATGTTCAAACACTTGTTAACTAATTAATCATAACCTTTTATCCTAGTACAATGTAATAAATGAAAGTTTACTGTCCTGTGAATATATCTGTTCATTTGCCCAGTATTGACCAGTTAGTGACTGGTTTTTATAGTAATGTCTTATCAAAATCTCAATTGACCAGTGTTCGCCAGAATTGATCAATATTTGTTAGTATCTACCGCCGTCCTGGTCAATACTTGTATTGACCGTTTTTTTTGCCAACGTTGCCAAATAGTGACTCATTGACCTTGTCCAAAACAGGATGAATTTACAAATATTGAAAATAAGAAAATACTCTCGAAAGGTGAAAATGAGTATTCCGTCAGAAAAATACTCCCCCTGCCTCCCCTCCCAAGGTAATAATTATCTCCTCAGTTGATGTTGGTCTGTATAGATTACCAATTGTTTTTTTAAATAAAACACGTTAAAGAAAAAATAGCAAAAAAGCTAAAAATTCACAAAACTAATCTCGTGAATTCGTTATAAGATACTGTCATCATCATCAGTGTTAATAAGATTTTCAGGTGAATCTCATAAAAGCGAATTAAAAATACACTAGCAGGTATAAAGGTTTGCGCAAATTCAAATTTAAAAAATGGAAACGTGAATTGTAAAGTTTACAGGATTACAAGGGAGAAATTGGATACATATAAAGTAAAATAATGTATGATATATGAAAAAATATATGCAGAAAATTTGTATGTTGTGTTTTGTGTACTATTGTTTGTCTGTTGGTCTTTTTCTTTTTTAGCCATGGCGTTGTCAGTTTATTTTCGACTTATGAGTTTGAATTCCCCTTTGGTATCTTTCGCCTATCTCATAAAAAAACCAACATAATGTTGAATTACGCAGTTTTTGCCAAAATATGATTTATGTGTAAATTTGCTAGAAGATAGTTGAAAGTAACTTAAGTCTATAGTTTTACTTACCAAGATGTAACATTTTCAAATGTATGGTGTTTCGTCAGATCAAACATAATAAGGCAGCCATGAGCCCCACGGTAGTAGGATGCTGTTAATGACCTGTATCTTTCCTGTCCTGAAATAAGAACAGTGCAAACTCATGAATAAATTTCAAGTCACTTGCTTTCAATCTACCGTCTTTAATGGTGGTTATTTACTGATTCTTCGAAATCTGATTTTTGAATAATGTTTTTATAAAGCTTTGGTCAATAATATTTTTGTTCAAACGTATGGCTTCTGGTTGTCCTCAAACTTTTATAAGCGGTGAGTTTTATTCAATATAATATGACTTTTTAACATAGTTCTGTTAAGTTTCGTAAATGTTAAATTGACCTTAAATGTATTCCTTTGGTCAATATTATTTTTCTCTCGAAAATATAACTTTCAAGTCGTCCTTTTTTTTTTTATCTTCGTGCTTTTTTTAAAACTGTGAGAATTATTTTGTTAAATAAATGAGTTCCTCTTATTCTTAAAATTAATTCAGAACATAATCTTCAAATGCTGAAACATTACAGTTTCATAAAAACCAAACTAAATGTTGAAAATCCTTAACATATATTTCACTGTGTATATTTTACACTAGGTTCGTTTATTAGGATGCATATCAAAAAGAGCTTTCATATTTTATGATTCTCGTGTGCCCAAGTCCGATTTTACTACACTCATGTAATAAGAGAAGCAGAAGTTACCACGAAAGCACAGTAAAAATCATAAAGTAAAAAAAAATAACTAAAAGTTCTTAAAAATAACCTGTGGTGGGTATGTACAAGTAAAGTTATTGATAAAATGAAATTATTTTGAGTTATTTTGTTGCATGGAAATAAGTTGAAATAATAAAAACAAAAACAACTCAGAGAAGATCTGGGACGATAAAAATTACTACAAGTCCAAAAAAACAGACAAGACCATAGTTAAAAAGAAAAACGACCAAATAACAAACAACAGTAACAAAGTATTTCACAAAAAAACTGAAGATTGAGCAACACGTTCCCCATTTAAAACTGGTGGTTCCTGCTCCAAAAGCTGCACCGTCGTGTTTCTTTTATCGACATAACAGAAGCATACATTGGCAGCTATTACAAATTGAACAGTTCATTTCATTTCAATTACACGGTTGTAGAAAATACAGTAATCCTTATTATAAAAGCATGTAAAAATTAAATACATTACGCTTAATGTTTAACATGAAGTCATTATTCAATCGCACCATTGTAGTTATTTTAAGACACTTATATGTAAATCATCGTTAAAAGTTGCTAAAAACCTATATATTACCTTCTGTATCAAATATATGAAGTTGAATTTTACCATCCTGATTATTTATTTCCTTTTTGTAATAGCCATTTAGCTTTGATGATTTATCAATACAAGACTTTCCATAATAAAAACGGGAAACCAACGATGTTTTTCCGACTTCAATGTCTCCAAGTACTAATATTTTAGCATAAAATGTTGGCTTTAATTCAACTGTTTTTAAATTTGAATTGAATAATATAGGCGGCATGTCTAGCAATCAAGTTTGAATAGGTTTTATGAACAAAACAGAAATAGTTAATCTTATAAAAGATGGCACTAATCACAGATACAGTCCACGCGAATTGGACTGAATTCTTATATGGACGCAATGAAGATATTCACAAGATGAAAAATAAATCCCTCCTCTTCAATGATGTTATTTGTTAGAAGTAATATTGTTGTAGTTGCAATATACAAATCCATCAATAGTACGCAGTTGTCTAGAGTTCGCAATATCAAATGTTGAATTTCATTTATAAGTACCAAAACTAATAGTCTCTTTTCAGTTTATAAGTATCAAATAATAGACTAAATGTTGAATAGCCAGATTGAAATAAATATCATTGGAGATTCATATTGCATCTACGTTTAGTATATTTTCAAAAGTCACAACAAAAATAAAACAACCCGAAAGTAACGTGCAAACACATGTGGTGTTCAGTTACATCTGGTGTTATGCTAATATGAACTGCTACTCTGTTTATATGCAGCTGTCCTTTTTCAACGATTAAATAATTTTCGGTGTATGGGTAACAGTCTATCTATAATCATGTTGCATACGGTGGTCAGTGGACAAGTGGCCTATATATAATGACCATGATCAAAGTTCAGTCAATGACTGAAAATTGATTAGTAATGTCAATAACACAACACCAAAATTAAATGTTACGCACACCTTTCCTTTTGTCTCAAATCGGAAATATACAATGTATAGTTACTAATTATATTAATTTATTAGAATTTATCAAATTTTCCAAACCTTTATGTTCTCTTTATCATTTTCTTTAACAGCAACGATAGTTTAAAAATTCTTGAAAAGGATGTCAAATTAGTTTAAAATCTTTCGTTTGATCTCATACTAACTAGGGTCACGCCCATATAACCTCGACAGTAAAATAATTGTAGTGTGTATACATTCTTCACTTTTTATTATGGTATAATTAAGTATTTTCTGTTCCTGTTTTTTTTTATTTTGCTATTTTGCTGGTTTCATTATACAACAAATTTTGTAACACTTTTTATTAGATTTAAGTAGATTTTTCGTTTTTCGTTTCTAATGTATTTTTAAAATTGGCTTAAAATATTGCCTACATACAAAAATCATAGCTTACATTTTTAACATAAAACTTAAAAAATTATAAAAAACATTTCATTATACAAGTAGATTGAAATGCAATGAGTAATGTGATTTCTGTTCTTTGGATGGTAACAAAAGTATTGCAAGACTATATATTTATCTTTTTAACTTAAAACAGTATCGTTTCACTGTATTGGTTTTCTCTACAATATATTTTACTAGTACACAATGTCATTGATAGCAATGGCCAAGGACACTCTTACACGCCATGAAATATTCTGATAAGAATTAAGGTGTAAAATGATTCACTTTTTATACATAGCCTATCCTTGGACCCACGCCGTTCCGTGTACATAAGATATTTTAGATATGCATTTTTATAAAAAAAAAAAAAAACATAAATCTCTATCAAAATTTATTAAATACAATAATTTAAAACAGATTTGTAGATTTTTTTTTTAATTGTATTTTTTAAAGGTCTTAATGTGGTTTTACAAAAACGAGAATAATGGACAAATTGTATAGCATAAAGGCCAAAAAAAAAAAATAAAGAACAGAGAAAAATAGACCAATAAAATAAAAGAATAGGGAATAATGGGCAAAATAAATAAGGAATAAAAAAGGGTCTAAAAATTTAAAGAATAAAGAATTAAAGGTCACCACATCCAGACCCTCTTTCATGGAAGTAAAACTAAACAATTAATAATCACATTAAGCGGTACCAATTTTACTGCACCAGATGCACAATTTTTGTCTCGTCAGTGAGGCACGAGGGCATTATAATTTGAAACCAAAACCTAATAATCGTTAAGACCTGATAAAATTAAAATAGACTAAATGTATTTCTAAACCCAGCAAAGGAATCAGAGCTATGCATGATAGAGAGACATTATTTAATTTTTCCTTCTGAAGTATTGTTTCAAACTCCTAAAATAATAGATTAAAACACGTAATAAGAGTCAATAGAAAGTGCGGTTTCGTGAAAATTCGATTTTCCGAAATTGAAAGTTGAAAACTAGTGCATTGAAAACTTTGAAGGCTTGTGACAATTCCAGATATATTGGAATTACATATTCCTTTATGCAGCATTTACGTATAGTATGGATATTTTTTAATAAAAGTAGTTTTACGTCATTATAAACATTACCGTATCTAACACTGTTATAAAAGATACGAAATCATGTCGTTCTTCAAAGGAACGCAGGTCAGTTTGATAATATATTTCTATTTTGAAGTTCAATTGTAAAACTTCAGATGTTTTAATAGTTTTTGTGTCCTCTTATATAATGTAGGTAACAATTTGTTTTCATGTTGACCAATGAAATCTTGTTGTTCAGTTTTGAATTTGTAATTTAAATCTTTTCTATGCAAACTGTTCCATTTTACTGTATTGCGTTCTCACTATATATTTGCTAGAGTACAATGTCGTCGATGACAACGGTCAAGGATACAATATAACGTCATAGAATATACATACAAGTCATGTAACTATATGATTCACTTTTTATAATCTATTCTTTGATTCGAGGGATTATGTTTAGATAATATATTATGTATCTCTATGCATTTAATCTCTTGTTGCAACATATTTATAATTGTTAAGATATTTTTAGAAATAAGGAAAATTTTGGTGATACCCGTAGTTATTTCGGTTTATAACAATTTCCATGGAATACCGACAACTTCAAAATGTTATCACGTATTCTATTAAATGATATTTAATGTTGAAATCGATGTAGAATATATTCATTTTACTTTTTTAACGAAAATAGATCTTTACCGTAAGGCAACAGTAATTTACCGATGTTCCAATCTCATGAATATAGTTATATAACATTACTAAATTGTTGACAAAATAAATATATATAACAAATTAAATTGTCAGCTGTAACAAAAACAAAAGGAATCAGTTCTTTTTTATTCTTTAAAATATTGACTTATTAACGAGTTAAACAAGTTATTAGTCATTTTAATAAATAGATGATTGATGTTTACAATTATTTATATCTAGTTTGTGCCCTAGCACATGATAAATTAATTTGAGCCCTAACACGTGATTTTTCTTTGGAATGTATTACGAGGTCTTATGATAAATTACCAGAGAAAATTGGGTCCATTAACTGAAGGAAAATTATGTTATGGAACGGATATAATTCGATTTAAGTGTGTATTGTACATTATGATATTATATCTGTATTGCAAAATTCTTTTTAAATAGATATAAGAAGATGTGGTATGAGTGCCAATGAGACAACTCTCCATCCAAGTCAAAATTTATAAAAGTAAACCATTATAGGTCAAAGTACGGTCTTCAACACGGAGCCTTGGTTCACACCGAACAGCAAGCTATAAAAAGCCCCAAAAATTACTAGTGTAAAACCATTCAAACGGGAAAACCAACGGTCTAATCTATATAAAAACCGACGAGAAACGAGGAACACTTATGAACCACATCAACAAACGACAACTACTGAACATCAGATTCCTGACTTAGGACAGGTGCAAACAATTGCAGCGGGTTTAAACGTTTTAATGGTACCAAACCTTCACCCTTCACAACATAGAAAGACACACCATAAAATATCAATTGAAATGGCTTAAATCAATCAAAAGACATATTAACACCAGTGAACATACATTGAACAAATAAATTTGATCTATGATACAATGTAAATACAAAATAAATAAACTATGGGAAGAATAATTAAAGTAACATTTTATACCGCTGTGAAATGTTAAACAATTTAAGAAAAACAATATGCTTGAACAAAAATATCAGCCATTTGCAATTACTTTAAACACAGGTAAATGAAAATAATTTTGTTGTTAGGTATACGTGTACAGTTCAAATGGAGAAAGGAAATATTTTACCAAAATAAATAATTTTGATGTTCATAGTACGAAGAAGTGAAAATTTAAATATCTACATTATCTGCTTTGGTATGTTGTTTTTAATTGATATGCTTCTTGGCCATGGGATTTACAAATCAAGCAAAACTAAAAGCTATTCAGAATTAAAGTAGTATGTTTAAGGTTATTACGTATACAAAAGTAATTGTTTCCAATAGATAAAGTTTCCGCATTTACTGCAGAACGAAATTTAAATGATAGATCAAAGGACCAGTTATAAAATGTTATTTTATCATCGAAATGTCAAATTTGTTTAATGTGTCTGATAAATTGAGTGATTACACGTTAGGGCAGTCACAATGCACAAGGTTATAGGTAGACGGAAACCATCTTTTTAAATGTTCTTTTTTGATGCAAACGATGTAAAAAATACATTCAGCACTATATAAAAATGGTCTAACGACCGACAAGGCTTTTTCTGTTCATTTTCTCGTTCACTTTGTAGTTTCTATAGCTGTATATTGCATACATATAATGGTATATACTCTACGTTATGATTATGTCTCCGTCTATTTATTGTCGTCCATTCGTCACAAAACTTTCACCTTGAAAATTCTACAGTTTACACACCGTTTTAGAAAAAAAAAATGATTCAAATGTCTTCACACCTTTGTGTGCATTTTCTCTTTTCTAAATTTTAGTCTCGATCATGCATGAGGAAGGTTATTCAAGAAAAAAAAAGTATTAACAAAAATAACGAACCCCAAGGAAAATTCAAAAAAGGGGAATAGATATAAGAAGATGTGGTATGAGTGCCAATGAGACAGCTCTCCATCCAAGTCCATAAAACCTAACAAAATCAAACGTTAGACTATTTCAACCAACGGGCGAAAGGAAAACAACTGTCATATTCCTGGCCTGGTACAGACATTTTCAGAAGAAAATGGCGAGTTAAACCTGGTTTTATAGTAGATAATCCTCCAACTTGTATGACACATGTGTCGTGCTCTAAAGTATCAGTAGTATTCGTTTTTGTAAATAAAAATGAAAACAACACGTTATAAATTTCATGCGTCCGAAGCGTTTTTAGAAAAGTTTGACTGATTATAAAGTTTGCTACTATTTCATGGGAACAGAACGACACTCCATACTTTGTGTAATTGTATTCGTCCTACTTATGTTTTATTAAAAATTTAGATTTGGTGTTTTCCATAGCAAAACACGAAATTTATTATTTGTATGAATGCGTAAGATTATCAACACCAGATTCCAACAGTTAAAATTTGATGTAACGAAACGTTACAGAACTGCCTCATAATACCCATTCACTTCGAAATTTGGTTGGTGTTTTTTGTGTGTTTAAGATGCCTTTATAGCTAAGACAAGACAAAACGTGGAAACGTGTGTTATCGAAAAAAGGTTAAATGATATTTCAATCTGATTAAAATCCTGATCTCATGTCCAAACTTTGCCTAATGATCTGGCAATATTTAATTCAACAGTCTGTACCAATATCTATTGGTCAACCAATGAAATGTTTGACTTCCTTTTTTTAATGTATGTATGCATATCGATATCAAGGTTGGCAAAAAAACGGTCAATGCTAGTATAGACCAGGCCGACGGTAAACACCAGAAAATACTGGTCAATACTGGCAGATACTGGTCAATATAAATTTTGATAGGACATTACTATAAACCTGGTCAATTACTGGATAAATGAACAGAAATAGTCACAGGACATAATGGCATATGTAAGCACATTTAAACTAAACTCAAAACTTTTATAACCCACTAAAGTGAGATATCGAGCATTTCTGTTTTTTCCTTTTTATACTTTCTTTGTTCAATTGTTTCTTTTTGCCTTTTATATAGAATTTTGTTCAAGTCAACAGCATTATGGGTGCTTTAAAAGGACAGGATTGAAATTCATTTATTTACTCATTGTACTAGGATAGAAAGTCATTTATTTACTCATTGTACTAGGGTAGAAAGTCTTAATTATTTTGTTACCAAGTATTTGTATGTATTTTGGTAAAGCTATCTTTATTTGTTTTTTTCCTTTTCTTTACCTTTTTCTAAGTTTAAAATTTTCGCTGGGTTTCTCACTGTCTAAATTGTTGTAAAAGAGAGGCGTGAGATGGGTAATTTTCTACATTTCATACAACAAGCATTGATAGATAATTAATTGAAATGTGGTCGCTACATTTCTTTAAGTGTTTCGTTTGGTCTTATGACTTTTGACGTGACTCAATATTTATGCATTCCGTTATCGGGTTTGTTTTTTTTAACTTCGGGCGTTCCTGATTCAGGTGGGTCCTGAGGAGCTATTCGAACGCAAGAGGGTTTTTTACAGTGTTATTTCCATTTTGTTTTACCCTTGTATTTATATTTTACTTAATTTGTACTCTATTATGAAAGTGTGTGCAATATACAAATTGACTATCAACTACAACACCTTTTTTGTTGGCGTCTTTGTTAGATTTATTTGTATGTTTATTAGTCAGTTGTGGTGTATATTTACACAATTTTGGCTACTCGATCCCAATTATTGTCATATTTACCTATTATGTCTGTTCTGGTTGCTCAACCAATTTTATCAACAAAACGGAACTTTTAACAACTGTCATACAAGTGGGAGGTTTAGCTAGCTATAACACCAGGGTTAACCCACCATTTTCTTCGGAAAATGCCTGTACCAAGTCAGGAATATGACAGTTGTTTTTCACTCGTTCCGTTGATTGATAACGTTTGATTTTGTCAGTTTTTATGGACTTCTCCTTTTTGAATTTACCTTGGAGTTTGATATTTATGTTGTACTTTAATACATTCTCTTTGCAAAGGTAAGTAAATTACTAAACAGTGAACTAAAATTTCAGTGGCGAATAAACATCGATTCCTGGTAGAATATCGAATTTCATTTACAGTTACAAATTTAAGACATAGAGTACTTGCATTAATTTTAGTTTAGTGACAAAAAAATACAGGAATTATCGCAAAACATAGTAGGATTTTACTAATATGATAACACTTAAATACTGGTGCTTTCGGAACTTACCTGCTGTATCCCATATATCCATTTTTATATTGTTATCAGTTCTTCGGAATTCTGTCTTTACTCTACCAGTACGCTGTCCTTTTAGCACGGAATCGTGTTCGGGTCCAACTAAAGCCCTAATTAGTGAGGTTTTTCCTACATTTAAGTCTCCAGTTATAACTACTTTTACATGGTAACTCGGATTATTTTGCATTGCATTTTTCTTTGATTTTCCTGTGGATGCTTTAACAGTCTGCACTTCACTATGATTTAAGTCACATGGTTTGCTCTCAATCTTTGCGTTTTTTGATATTTCATTATTAATTGCATGATTGTTTCTTGAATCGATGTCTTGATTCATTTTGAAGTGTTACGACTTTCCTATGTGCTGCTGTAACCACATTGTACAATAATATTTTTTAAGAAAAAAAGAACGCATTAGAAAAATCCATAGAATTTATTTTGAGGAAATGGGAAAATCTATCACGTGCGTTTTAGCGCATAATCGGCTAAAAATATATATTTATCGGCATGATATGTACAATGATTGAAAATGATAACATTTTACCCCACTTTCATTGATCTGATTTTGTATCAGTTTTCACGTGATGTTGATTTACACACACTAAAGTTTATCTCTGTCTATTGTATGCCTGACTGTCTTTAACTTTCATGTCATTCAATCAAAAAAACATGCTTCCTCAAACGGGTAACAGATAATCCTTTTTTTATTAAATAAGATGAAAATTGAAATAACACAATAAAACAAAATATGACTCGTTTATCGTGCGAACGTGGTTAAAAGCTGAGCTCTTTTTATTAGCTCCGGTATTCTAACCCGGCTATCTTGTGTCTTCGTGGACGTGGTTTTATACAGTATCCATACAGCTGCTTACCCTTGACAGCAGCTGTCGATTTTCCTTTTGTTTCAGATGCTTTGTTGTGACAAAAATCGCAGCAAAATTTTAAAATCCTGTACAGCTAATTTGTTTGCTAAAATCTCTCTGGAGTAATACTATTACAGCAATCAAATTATTCGGCAAAGGTTACTTTTTATTTCACAAATGGAAATATTTACAAATACAATATCTATTTCGTAACTTCTATTTTAAGCAAGCTTTCCACTGATATGTTGGGTTAATTAATCCATGTCGCCAAAGCAGAACAAGTGAATATGACTTGCCTCAGCCCGGTGAACAAATCCATATTTGAAAAAAGATATATATGACACGTTTAAGTTATTTTCATACGAAGCTCAGAATTATAGTAACATAATCCAACTATATTAATATCTCATATGTGTATACTACATTATAGTACATGTAGATGTAAATACAGATAAGAATAATATATAGATAAAAGGAAACTTCCTTTGGTGGCGGCAATAGAGTCAAATCAAACTGTTGATGATTTGAAGGATCACGTGTGTTTCTTTTTATATGTATCGATTTCCTTTAACAACTGTAATGTTAATAAATTCATCACATGGTATACCTGGGAATTTTAAATAGTATTGTTGTATGGTTATCGTAGTGGGGTGGAAGGTAATAGATAAACACTGATCAAGGCCAGATATGTTTTGATTAGGTACATTCGTATCCTATCATTTGAACTTAACACTCATCAGCTATTATTAGATTAATTTGGAATCACGTTCCTATTCCTGGACACGTTAAAACAATAAGCAAGGAATTGTATATTTAAATATACATTTCCTTGCTCTAATTAAGTAAGGAAAAGTGCTTGTAAATTATTGTTCTTATTCAAAGTTTAAAACATGTTGATATTGTGAATAGACATTTTCAAAGTGAAGTATAACAATGGAATTTATTTAAGAATCTGAAACAAATAATGAAATACTTGTGGTTTCATTTTTTTTTTTGGTTATATTATTATTAATAGTGGCGTAATTGTACTAATATAAAAATAAGGAGATGTGGTATGATTGCCAATGGAAACTATCCACCAAAGTTCAAATGAAGTGGCTGTAAGCAATTATAGGCAACTGTACGGCCTTCAACAATGAGGAAAACCCATACCGTATAGTCGGCTATAAAAGACCCCGACATGACAAATATGAAACAATTCAATCGAGAAAACTAACGGCCTAATTCATAACAAAATAATTGACGAAAAACAAATTTGACAGACATGACAGACATGAACCACTGACAACCATTGAACTACGAGCTCCTGACTTGGGACAGGCACATAGTGGATGCGACGGGGTTAAACTTGTTTGTGAGCGCTCAATCCTCCCCTCCTCCTTGGACAGTGTTGTTACAACACGACATAAGAACAAACAATAAAAATAAGTTGAAAATGGCTTAACTCATCAGATCGATACAAAGCATCTAACAATAACACAGACCGGACGTGGCAGGCTATTTATACATCCCTAACAACAAAAAAGACAGAAAGTACAGATCTGAAAGTACTCGCAGTTACTGACAGCTTGTGCAATGCCTATAACAACTAATTATATAAATCATCTATCTTAGACTAAAATATTAATCAGTACACATCCAACATCTAATATTTGTAGTGTAAAGACGTCTTTAACAGTCGAAAAACATGACATTATGCAGTGCCAAAATATATATAGGTATCGACAGATTGCAGTACCGTGAAAGTGCATATGTATATAACAATAATATTTAGTATTGTTTTAATTTAATGATAACAAAATTAATATTTATACCAATAAAAACAATATTCAAAGATCTTATTACAGTGTTGAATTGGTAACCTTATAGATTAAGATTATTTTAAGGATTGATAAGTTTACCCGGATCGCATCTAAATTTCCGGGCTCGGTTAATACCATCACCGTAAAAATTATGATGTGCTATTCCGTTGTAAAGAAGTTTTCTACAGGTATAACCAAAGTTGCAAACCAAAACTTTGCATCTACAGAAGAACTGAGTAAAGGTTTTAAGTAATTTGTAGTAACGAATTCCCTGACCTGATAATTTACCAATAATACATAGATTACGCTCATTGAAATCCAAAACGTCACTACAGACACGGGCATAGCGAATGAGTTGGGATATATTAACACCGTACGACGGTGTCAATGGAACATTTGATACCGGTTATTTCTTTCACATGTATGTACGTTTAAACTAATTTTAGTATAACTCGTTTCTTGTCCTTCTGTTCGGTGGAAAACATTGCCAACGCTTGGTTTTGATTGGTTAAAATAATAATAAAAAATACGACAAGGCAATATCTTGTTCTACTTAATAGAAATGACAATTTTCATTTGATGCTATTCTAGAAGCATACATGACTCGATTGATGCGACACAGATACGCACTAAACACTATAATCAATTATATTTTAGTACTAAAAATTGTTGATGGTATAATACTAAACCTCTAACGGGAGGGATTGTGTTGGATTTTCATATGATGAAGATATAATCTTTCAATCAGTTTAATTGAGGTCTGGAGCTGGCATGTCAGTAACTGCTAGTAGTCCTTTGTTGATTTATCTTGATCATTTTCATTTTACTTAGTTTCTTCCGTTACCTTCTAACATCGTACTCGGACTTCTTTTAAACTGAGTTTTACTATGCGTAATCCTGTGTGTTGGTTTATTCCACATTGGTTAGAGGTATAGGGGAGGGTTGAGATCTCACAAAACATGTTTAACCCCGCTGCATTTTTGCGCCTGTGCGCCTGTCCCAAGTCAGAAACCTCTGACCTTTGTTAGTCTTGTATGTTTTTTTTTTTAACTTTAGTTCGTTTAAATGTTTCGGAGTTTAGTGTGACGTCCATTTTCGCCAGCTGAATCCCGCCTCCGGGTGCGGGATTTTCTCGCTGTGTTAAAGACCCATTGGTGGCCTTGGGCTGTTTCCTGCTCTTGTTGTCTCTTTGACACATTCCCCGTTTCCATTCTCAATTTTATTATTTGAATGTACATGGACAGACTATACCGACTTGAATAAATCCTGGAAAGCTCTGGAAGAAACTGTTCCTTTTGGTCCATCTGAGCACAATCATGGCACCAGTGGCAATTCTTTAGTCGATAGATTAGTCTTCGATTTCATCTTCTATGCAAAACTTTGAATTAGGAAAGTGTTTGGTCATATTCTGCACAAAATGGCCGTATTCTGAAGATTTAGTGACATCGTAGTTCCCACTATCGTACTTCAAATTTATATCGATACGGTTGTAACGGTTTTGTACCTAATTTTCGAGATAATAGCACTCTAAAGTTGCAGCAGTAATGAAGGATAGGTTATTAATGCCTCATTTTCTTTCGATTTAGTGGAGGAAAAAAACATTACCACCGCAGAACACCTGGAATGTGTAGTGTTCCTAAAATCGATATCTCAGACGCTAAATAACTTTTGAACTTAAGCAGACCTCGTTGTGAACCAAAAACTCAAATATACCATGCTTATAATTTGGTTTGTCAAATGCGGGATTCGTCCACATGAGACCAAACGAATCAGTGGAGTTCGAATCAAAGCAGTTAAAAGGCCAAATCAAAAACAAATCTACGAAACAGAATGTATGCCTCTGTAGTCATAGTATATTTATAATCAATTTCAGATGTGGTTAATTCAGAACAGGTCAGACCTTTTACTAGCAATTAATTTAAAACTGGTCCATGTAATTCCTGGGTATTCAGTATTATTAACTAATATACAATGAGTTGCCTGAAAAGTAACGGCAACATTTCTGGGCTTTAGTTTTCTTGGTACAGAATATGATGTTCACAGCGAGTGGATGGCCTTAATATATTTACAGAGTGCACAACATAGGCTTCTTAAAGCCCCTTATTTTACTTTTATGCATATATGTGCTTAATTACATGACTGTTTTTGTGTTCAAAAATATAAGCAGATTTTTTTTTCAAACAGACCAGTGCTTACAAATCAAAATATATTTAACACGTGTAAACATATTGTTGATCTTCAAAAGGGCAATATTTTCATATGAATTTATGTTATTTTAAAATACCTATTTCTTATGTAAACGTACACAACTACAGCTTTTGACATTTTTCCTTGTTTTACGATTAATTTGCGAAATGGCTTATACTACGGTTATCATGGCTAGGAATATTCTTCTAAATTGCACATTCTTGAACATCGATAAACTAAAGTTGCATCTTGTTTATGCGTGAGGTTAATCGTTCTATTTACTGCTTCATTTAAAGGAATGCTACAAAAGGGCGAAACTTTGTCAGGAACATGTGACTGATAAGGGTATTGATGAGCAAAACGTCATTTCTCTTTGAGTCACACTTGAGGCTTTCACGAAATGTAAGTGTTAAAACATGAACCCAAACGTTGTCACGTATCACTTTTAAGTAGAAAAAAAAAACAAGATAGTTTGTTTATAATCAAAGGTATTCAGATGATCCAGTTTTTAACCTACAAATGTAATTTAACCACCTACATCTGTGTTCTAAAGAAACTTCATATGCAGTCAAATGTTGAAATGTTTATCTCTGGTGGAACATGGATCACTTTGACCTATTTAGTTCACCTGGCCCAAAAGGTCTGGTTGAACTTTTTGTCATCACTTAGTTTCCGTCATCCGTCTTAATTTTTTTTAAATATTGTTTAACCTGTGAAACAAAGGGCCAACTTGAACCAAACATAGCCTGTGAAATACATATCGGGTATACTTTAACAGTAATGTCCGTTCACATAATCAAATCATCATGACCAAAAAGGCTGAAAGTAACACACTAGGATAAAAAGTGGCTAATTACTTTATTCACGCATGAGCATGAGTTATACTACCGGACGGGAGATGCTCGTGTGGCAATTTTGCAATCCTTGGGATTGTTAATGAGAAAATCATCAACGAGAAATGAAAAAAATATTATGAAGAAGCATAACAAAAGTGGTAAAAATTGTTTGGACGGATTTTTGTCTATTGTTTCTCATTGATTCCTGTATATTTGTAATATTGCACGAATTTGATACATTCTATCGATCTAAATAGTTAATACACTACTTTTCCTAATATCATTAAGGCAGGCCTACTGCATAAATCTTGTCATGCGGCATGGATGCTTTTATTAAACTAGTTGTCCTTATATGTTGTAGGTAAGCCTACTGCAGCAATCTGTCATGGGGCATGGATGTTTGTATCTGCTAAGATAATCAAAGGAAAGAAAGCCACATGTTTTATAGCTTGTAAGGATGACGTAGAAAATGCTGGGTAAGCTTAAATAAGCTTTTAATGATAATAATTGTACACAGGTTTTTACGTGATCAGAATGCAAGTCAGTAAACGCTTTGTTCATCGAAAATTGGTATTTGATGAAAATGCGATAAAACGATAACAAAAAATCCTTAATCATACAGTACAGTGGAAGATGCATGGAATTATCAAAATAACAATGATATGTAAAAATTGCATTATAGCCGTTACGGCATTTGACTTCATCATTTGTTATACTTGTAAACGTGGGTTTCTATTGAAAATTGGTAGCATAACACTTTGTGAAATACCTATAGAGACAAAATCAGTGTTTGGAAACCTTTTAATCCCGAGAGCAGAATGTATTGTTGCCTAACTTCCAACGTCAAATACTATTAATTATTTGGATGTATTTGCAGCTATTGAAGAGTCCATACGAGAACAAATAGATAAAATATAATATTATAGAATTAATTACTCTAAATATCAGCACAACAATGTTAAATCTGCAAATTTGCGGATGCAAATATTGTTCTTCCCTCGCCGGGATTAGAACTCATGATATTGGGATATCGAGACAACACTGCCTGCACTGTGTCCAGCGCTCTAGACCACTCGGCCACCTAGACTGAACAATACAGCTTTCGGTGGCCTAGTGTTACCTTTCCTCGTCAGTAGAATCTAGAGTTGTAACACAGTATATGATATATTAGGCATGAAGATGGAATTGAATGCAGATTAGCTATATATTATAACGGAATTTGGCGAGACTGTCGTACAAGTGAGAGGTTTAGCGCCATAAAACCAGGTTCAATCCACCATTTTCTACATTTGAAAATGCCTGTACCAAGTCAGGAATATGACAGTTGTTGTCCATTCGTTTGATGTGTTTTGTCATTTGATTTTGCCATGTGATTAGGGACTTTCCGATTGAATTTTCCTCTGAGTTCAGTATTTTTGTGATTTTACTTCTTTTTTTTTTATAGAATTAATATATACATACATTTCTTTTTGTAGAGCATTATATGAAGATTCACCAGTGGTGGTTGATGGCAACATGATTACATCACGTGTTCCTCAAGACCTACCGCAATTTACCACTGCTATCATAGCTCAGTTAAAATAAACAATGACGGTGAATACCATCAGATAGTAGTGAACAAACAATGATATATTCTGGTTGAGTCGTCTATGCATTAACTCGGTTATTATATCGCACGAAATATGAACTTGTAATTCCAGTTTGAATGCAACAAATGAAAATGATGTCAATTTCAGAATAAATTAAAAAAAAAATTTAATCTGTTTCTTTTAACGTTAACAGTGAAAGAACGCAATTGCAGAAGAGAGGCGAAAGATACCAAAGGGACATTCAAACTTATAAGTAAAAAATAAACTGACAACGCCATGGCTAAAAAAGAAAAAGACCAATAGACAAACAACAGTACATAAAACACAACATACTGCAAACGGTAGGTAAATAAAATCTGGATCGATTATGCCCCGATGGAATCGGATCTAGATATTACTTACCCATCGTTTGCGGCCTCGTGTAATTGCTCGTGAGTATGCCCCGATGGAATCGAATCCAGATTTTACTTACCCATCGTTTGCGGCCTCGTGTAATTGCTCGTGAGTATGCCCCGATGGAATCGGATCCAAATTTTACTTACCCATCGTTTGCGGCCTCGTGTAATTGCTCGTGAGTATGCCCCGATGGAGTCGGATCCAGATTGTACTTACCCATCGTTTGCGGCCTCGTGTAATTGCTCGTGAGTATGCCCTGATGGAATCGGAGCCAGATTATACTTACCCATCGTTTGCGGCCTCGTGTAATTGCTCGTGAGTATGCCCCGATGGAATCGGATCCAGATTTTACTTACCCATCGTTTGCGGCCTCGTGTAATTGCTCGTGAGTATGCCCCGATGGAATCGGATCCAGATTATACTTAGCCATCGTTTGCGGCCTCGTGTAATTGCTCGTGAGTATGCCCCGATGGAATCGGAGCCAGATTTTAATTACCCATCGTTTGCGGCCTCGTGTAATTGCTCGTGAGTATGCTCCGATGGAATCGGATCCAGATTTTACCTACCCATCGTTTGTGGGCTCGGGCGATTGCCCGTGAGTATGCCCCGATGGAATCGAATCCAGATTTTATTTACCCATCGTTTGCGGCCTCGTGTAATTGCTCTCGGTGGATTTTGGATCGGCATCCGCGGTGTGATAAACTCCTGACTGATGTTGGACCAGACTCATTATGATGATCACATTATTCCTCTTTGCTTTTTTCGTTGGGTTTTTGTTGCATATACTTTAGATGTCCTTGTTTTCATATTAAGTTGACTTTCGGATACTTAGTAGAATCATGATACATTTATATCTCTATGCAGACACTATACAGACAGAATTTATATAAACACGTACTAGTCATCATGATAAAGGAGTTATACTAAAAGCTTTGATATAAATATTATCGTAAAATAGTTTAAATTCTACATTTTACACTTGTGTATTTCAAAATACGATCTTTGTGTAAATTTGCATTGTTATATAATTTTTATACACAAAGTTGAATACCCCGGGTATATATGAAATAGTTGCCACTGGGTGTTAATCAAACTACAATCAATCACAAAGTTGATTTTTTACTTCCATATGAACTAGTAGTGTCTCTATATTCAACGAGCTGTTTTATGACACAGTAGACCTACATGTCAAAAATGTTTCAAGTTAAATATAAATATTCTGCTTTATCGTTACGATAGCTTCAGGCCTGTTGACTTTGCATGATTCTCTTGGGTACATGTAGTTTGCTAATATAAATATCATTTGCCAATAAAGCTGATAAACACACTTTATACAAGGCGTTCACGATTTTCTTTCATGGAACAACGCAATTTAAATTAAATCTGGGTATATAAATAACTTGTCCCATGTTTTAAAGGTCACATGAGCTATTGAATTGTAATATCATTGTGTCAATATGTAAATACTTTCGTTATTGAAACGGCCATCAATAAGTAATATTGGGCCTTTTAAGTCTAAGTGCAGTTAAGCTTCTTTACCTGTATTTTTTAAAAGTCAAGAATGCGGTGTATTTTGACATTGACATTGACATTGTAACTAGTATGTTTTTTGTGGTCCAATAAAAACAGAATTTTTTTTATTATGAGTCACATAACAACCTTGATTTAAAACGTCCTCATTTAAAACTAAACTGCGTTTTAATTGAAATATTTTAAAAACTGATAAACTGAGGCTTTCGATGTGTATCCTTTATCAGCATGACCGTGTTCCAAAAAAAAACTTAATCATCAAAACAGAAATATCCTATATATAGGCCGTCGTCCACTTAATGAAATAAAGAAAATCCGACAATCGTTTGTTACACGACTTTAGATAAGTTAACAGTTGTCCATAACAGTGTATAATAACCCCTATCTTCGTATCGTACATTACTAAGTTTCCTAACAATTAAAAGAGATGATGCATGGTATACGTCAATGGGAGAGCACCCCTACAACACATGTAACAAAAGAAAATCTAGATGCATGGGGACTCAAAATATAAATGTCTATACAATAAGTCAACCTCTAAAAGTCCCGAGTCTAAAATGTTGTATAAAAATCAAACATGCAGAAACCGTCTAAGATCTGTCATGAAAACAGAATTCTCCAAATAACACTAAAATTAAGATTGGAAACAAGACAAACACTGACGAGTTTTCTTTTGACAGGCGCATGAATATGTTGCTGGGTTAAATTAATTTGTATAATATAAAAATAAGGAGATGTATTATGATTGCCAATGAGACAACTATCCACCAAAGTTCAAATGAAGTGGATGTATACAATTATAGGCAACCGTACGGCGTTCAACAATGAGGAAAAACCCATACCGTATAGTCGGCTATTAAAGGCCCCGATATGAAAAATATGAAACAATAAGTTCTCAACCCTCCCCTTTTGATTTCGATCAGAATTCTAACAAAACGGACATTAAAGAACATAACGAGAAATTAAAAATCACTTAACTCTTATTATGACATATTTCAAATACACTCAAGTATATAATATATATTTATGAAAATAAGAAGATCAAGTATGATTGCCAATAAGACAATTATCCACGTGAGACCCTAAAACGTTCATGTAAGCAACTATAGGCCACCGTCCGGGCTTCAACAATGAGCAAATACCGTATCGTGTAGCAAGCTATGAAAATCCCCGGCATGAAAAAATATTAAACAATTGAAAAGAGATAATTAACGGTCTGATGTATGCTAAAACAATAAACGAAATATAAATATGGCAGACAGCAACCAACGATAACCATTGAAATACAGGCTCCTGCCTTGGGACATGCACATAAAGAATCTGACAGGGTTAAACATTGGTAGGTTTTTTGACGGGCCGTATTATGGTATACAAATGTCGTCTGTCCGTCCGTCTGTCCGTCCGTCTGTCTGTCCGGCGTAAACATGTCGCACCGTAACTTGAGAACGACTTATCCAAATTTCATGAAACTTAATATAGTTGTTTCTTATGATTGTCAAACGATCTGTATACTTTTTGGTGAAAATAAGAAAAAAATTTTGAGTTACAGGACTTAGTAACTAAAACAGATGTGTGTTTTTTTTTACATGTCGCGCCGTATCTCAAAAAACGATTTATGATTATTGCTTAAAACTTTACACACTTCTTAGTTATATTATTCTTAAGATCTGTATACTTTTTGGTGATGATTCAAAATTTTATTTTTGAGTTATTGAGTATTTGTAAAAAAAGGGGGAGGGGTTTTTCACATGTCGCGCCGTATCTCAAAAACGATTTATGATTATTCCTTAAAATTTTACACACTTTTTAGTTATATTAATATAAAGATCTCTATACTTTTTGGTTTCGATTACAAATTTTATTTTAGAGATATTGAGTTTTTTGTAAAAAAAAGGGGAGTTTTCACATGTCGCGCCGTATCTCAAAAACGATTTATGATTATTGCTTAAAATTTTACACACTTCTTAGTTATATTAATCTAAAGATCTGTATACTTTTTGGTTTTGATTCAAAATTTTTATTTTAGAGATATTGAGTTTTTTGTAAAAAAAAAGGGGGGGGGGGGTTTCACATGTCGCGCCGTATCTCAAAAACGATTCATGATTATTGCTTAAAATTTTACACACTTCTAAGTTATATTAATCTAAAGATCTGTATACTTTTTGGTTTTGATTCAAAATTTTATTTTAGAGATATTGAGTTTTTTGTAAAAAAAAAAGGGGGGGGGGGGTTTCACATGTCGCGCCATATCTCAAAAACGATTTATGATTATTGCTGAAAATTTTACACACTTCTTAGTTATATTAATCTAAAGATCTGTATACTTTTTGGTTTTGATTCAAAATCTTATTTTAGAGATATTGAGTTTTTTGTTTAAAAAAAAGGGGGGGTTTTCGCATGTCGCGCCGTATGTCAGAAACTATTTATGATTATTGCATAAAAATTCACACACAAGACGACGGGCGTATCATGCGCTCATGGCGTAGCTGTTTATTATATCTTGTTTCCATGGGAACCCTTATATTGCAGAATATTTTGGTTTGATTCTTGTTCTAATGTATGTCTACATATACAAATGAATTCATGGCGTAAGATGTCTGACGTCATTCTTTTAGCAGTTATCTGCTGGGACATGCGTACTCAGTTTCCGTAGCTTTATTTTTTTTAATATGACATAGCGATCCTGCAGTCCCTTATCGGCGGGGTCAACGTTTTGGTTCAGACTAGATCTGTGGTTAAAGGTTTTGAGGCATCAATAACTTTGTCAAACCTCCAAGGAATTTTACGAAACTTTGTCTTTTTTATGACCAAGAGATAGTATGTGTTACCCTTTTACACTGACATAAGCTCTCGCTGACTAGACACAGGTTTATCCGTGCACAACCTACACCTCTTTTCTGATGCAGGTTAGGGCCTGTCTGCATTCGGGCTTACCTTATCTTTTATCTTGTAATAGTTTGTTTCTAAAAGGCTAAAAAAAAAAAAATTAGGACCGTAGATAATGTTAACTATTAAACTATCATCATAACCCTTTATTTGTTTCATCTTGTGAGTAATTTTGCCAGATGTGTATATTGAACACAGATACTTTCAGAACGAATCGATCCCTTAATTATTTGTTCCGAAATATATAGTAATGTCTTCTGTCCTTCTTATGGAAGTACCAAAATTAGTCAGAGTGCCAGAAGAATCTACTGATTAGATAACTATATGTATAATGTTTGCCACTGGATATTTTCTTGAT